ACAGTTTAATCTATGTCAAACCTCTGTTCATAAAACAAATCCTTTGAGTACAAGTTTCTGATCAACTAGGTATGATTTAAATGAGATCTGTAAATAGTTTTTATTTTAACTAAAAATTTTTTATTTATAACCAAAATAATTTTGAAAAGAAAGGGAACTGAATGCATCTAATTTTCATAATCACAGATAAAAATGTTATAAAAATTCCAAGTACTCTTGTAAAAGAACAATAGAATTATGAAAGATTGTTGAAGAAAATTATAAAAGGTTTTAAAAAAAAATATGTTAACAACTTGGACAAAACAGAGGATAGTGTGCAATTTCAGGAGGCTGAAGAATGTGATGGAATGAAATAAACAAGAATTATGGTAATGAAAGTTCTTACAAAGATGACAGTAATGAAATATTGTTTCAATGACTTCAAATTTTTCGCATGCAAACAGAATAACAACAACATTGACTTAACTATATTCAGTTTCTAATTTTTTTTTTTCCAAATAAAATTTATTGTTTATAGATTTTCCCCAGCATCTTTTCCCACTCAAATTAAGGAATCCAAAATTGGTAATCTAATTATATTCATACCAAACAAATTCATACTTTTAAATAAATTTCATTTATTAAAATTGAAGACAGTGTCAAAACAGTAACCATTTTATTCACTTCATTATGGAATACATTTCAGAACATAGCTCTTTCCTTTTTGTCTTCATGGTTGCCAAAAATTTTTAAATTCCCTTAAAACATATATTTCATCAGTTAAAAATTATTATTTTTTTAAAAATCAGAGTGGAGACAGACATCATCTTACTTTTCCTCTATACGGCCATATTTCACACCAACCACCAGTGATGAATTCTTTTAAAATATTTTCAATTTTGTAAAATTCATCCAGATGGTAATTTTCATATTAAATCACAATAAATTTCACAAAATTAAAAAAATTCTGTTTACTAGATGATACATCAAAATTTTAAAATTTTGCACTGAAATTACTATAATTTAGTAAATATACACAATATTATAAAACTTATTTTAGTTACAACAAAGAATTGGTGGTGATTATTCTTGTAAAAGTGGTATTTTTATTTATAAAAATCCATATAGTGTTTCTAATCCAAAAATATAGAAATGTTCACAACGTTGAGATGACGCTGCACAGTCATATTGAGTATTGACTCATTTTAGGTTTAGAAGTGATAACTGAAAACTTTAGGTTAAGTTTGTTATTGCTTGTAACAAACAATTTAAATTTCCAATTTCATTTTTAATTCTTAGCATAAATTTTTCTGTCCTTATTCATGCTAGATTTATTCAATATTTCACAGCAAACATAATAAAGTAATTAAAAATTTAGAAAATTCATTTTTTGTATTCTAATCCAAAACATAGAAATGATACTTTTAGTCATTTTAATATAGTAAAAATAAAACATTATAAAATGATTTTTATAAACAAAAAGATTTTTTACTATTGTTTTATATATTAAATAAATTAATTTAAATAAAACATTTGTAAGTTAAATCTGAGATATAAGTTAACATTTAAGTTAAATCAGTCACTATCTGAATATCTGCAGGAAAATCAGTTTACAGATACAATGTTAATACATAAAGGTATCACAAACAATTAATAATTTGAGAAAATTAATTAACATTTAATTTTCTTGAAGTTGGATTAAAAAAAAAAAAAAGTGTGATTTTAACTCATTTATTCTTAAAATTTACAATTTTTTAGAATTATTATTTTAACGTATACAATAACCGATCCCATTGTTTTAATTTTTATTTTACAACTTATCACAAACAACTTGTACACCCCTTTTAAAATGAAGGGGAGGAAGTTTTCTCAAAATTCCTAAAAATTTTGATCAGTAAATTGAGCATGCTCTAATCACATTGATATTTTCAAATGGGCTTCAAAACACCCCTTTTTTCTAGTAAATTCTTTAATTAAATCAAATGAACTAATATTTTCGGTTATCTTAAATGGCCTTTTTCAGGTTAAGCATAATTGGAGTTCCAATTATGCTGAAGAGAGAAAAGTGTTTTGAAACTTATATACAGAAGTTCTTGCTTACTGAGCATAGAATTTTCAAATGTTACAAATGGTTTATATCACAATGTATAATAACAATTATTTCTAACTCCAACAGTAGCTATTTAATATATTATTATTGCATAAATATGATATCTTTACATACGTTTCAGAAATTCTTCTAAATTCTCCACCCAGTGATTAATTGTTTCTTGTTCATCTGCATTAAACCATATCAAAGTGCTATCTATGTTAGCTTCAGGTGGACGTGGACGAAAGCCTAATCCTATAATAAAAGAAATTTTGATAAATTAGCTTAAAGTTTTATTTAAAGAACTAAAATGTTAATTATACATAAAGTATTTTAAGAGATCTTTCATAATACTTTGTGATAATGAATTTCTACCGAAATCCTCATTGCATAAAATTAATTGCTTTGAATGATAGGCATTAACATTTTAAACAGATTCAACAAAATATGAAAATGTTTCAATTCTATAAACATTTCTTATAAAGTAAAATTTTTAAGTTGTGAAATAAAATTACAAAAAAGTATGTTAAAACTAGAAGGAATAAAGCAATGAAAATTTCTGCTTTAAGATTAGGAAAAAGTTATTTTTCATTCTGTTTAAATCTGAATTACATCATATTTCAAATAAAATATGGCAGCTAATTTTTCAATTGATATAAAAATTTTTTATATCAATTTTGTCATAAAATTTCATTTAAATTCATTTCAAAAATATGTACTAATTTATACTTATAGTATTATTTCATATTAATGAAATAATCAAATTTGATCTTATGTTAATTAATATTCAGAACTGGAATCTATTAAAATACAACTTTTACATGCAACTCAAGTTCTTAAATTCAAAACTAATGTTAGTGAAATTAAAAGTAAAAAGATTTTTTTAAATTGAATCATCCAAAATATAGTCTGTTTTAAAGACAGTCTAGCTTTACTAGTAATTTGTATTTATTATATTAAAATAATAAGTATCTATTATTTATTTTTATATAAATTTATAAATCTTTTAAAAATATGATTTGTAAAGACATTTTAAAATATACAAGGAAAAAAAAAAATATTTAAAATTTATCTAAATTTGTTTTCAAATATATTTTAGTAATTCCATCAATAAATGCAGTTAAACTTCTGAAGCTTTGTTCAAGATTTGCTTAATGTAAGTTTAAAATTATACAAAACTATTTAGTAACTATTTTAACTATTTTAAAACTATTTATATAAATACTTAAGTGTCTAAATGACATTTAAACATTAGTTAATTGTATTCTTGTGCTTATAAATAATACAAAGAAATAAAAAAAACATTAGATAAACACAAACATTTCTTAATTAATAGCAAATGTTTTTAAATCAACTTGATTAACACTATTTGCTATTAATTGATCAGGAATGTGTGCTTAATAAGCACACACCCCTAATCAATCTACTGCAGATGCCAACCAGATGGCTGCAAGGCTGAACAATCATGTCCAGTGTTTTATGCATGTCTCTCAACTTATTGTTAATTCAAGAGAATGCTAGCTGTTTATTTGAAGACGATAGAAAAATTTGAACCTGAATGCACAAGAGGTTTTCTGACAACAATGGTGTTTACATTTCAAGAGATCAAACTTGCACAATTTCAAACTTCAGGGCAAATATGAAGTGAAGATATTCAAGCTGNATTAAAAAAATTCTGTTTACTAGATGATACATCAAAATTTTAAAATTTTGCACTGAAATTACTATAATTTAGTAAATATACACAATATTATAAAACTTATTTTAGTTACAACAAAGAATTGGTGGTGATTATTCTTGTAAAAGTGGTATTTTTATTTATAAAAATCCATATAGTGTTTCTAATCCAAAAATATAGAAATGTTCACAACGTTGAGATGACGCTGCACAGTCATATTGAGTATTGACTCATTTTAGGTTTAGAAGTGATAACTGAAAACTTTAGGTTAAGTTTGTTATTGCTTGTAACAAACAATTTAAATTTCCAATTTCATTTTTAATTCTTAGCATAAATTTTTCTGTCCTTATTCATGCTAGATTTATTCAATATTTCACAGCAAACATAATAAAGTAATTAAAAATTTAGAAAATTCATTTTTTGTATTCTAATCCAAAACATAGAAATGATACTTTTAGTCATTTTAATATAGTAAAAATAAAACATTATAAAATGATTTTTATAAACAAAAAGATTTTTTACTATTGTTTTATATATTAAATAAATTAATTTAAATAAAACATTTGTAAGTTAAATCTGAGATATAAGTTAACATTTAAGTTAAATCAGTCACTATCTGAATATCTGCAGGAAAATCAGTTTACAGATACAATGTTAATACATAAAGGTATCACAAACAATTAATAATTTGAGAAAATTAATTAACATTTAATTTTCTTGAAGTTGGATTAAAAAAAAAAAAAAGTGTGATTTTAACTCATTTATTCTTAAAATTTACAATTTTTTAGAATTATTATTTTAACGTATACAATAACCGATCCCATTGTTTTAATTTTTATTTTACAACTTATCACAAACAACTTGTACACCCCTTTTAAAATGAAGGGGAGGAAGTTTTCTCAAAATTCCTAAAAATTTTGATCAGTAAATTGAGCATGCTCTAATCACATTGATATTTTCAAATGGGCTTCAAAACACCCCTTTTTTCTAGCAAATTCTTTAATTAAATCAAATGAACTAATATTTTCGGTTATCTTAAATGGCCTTTTTCAGGTTAAGCATAATTGGAGTTCCAATTATGCTGAAGAGAGAAAAGTGTTTTGAAACTTATATACAGAAGTTCTTGCTTACTGAGCATAGAATTTTCAAATGTTACAAATGGTTTATATCACAATGTATAATAACAATTATTTCTAACTCCAACAGTAGCTATTTAATATATTATTATTGCATAAATATGATATCTTTACATACGTTTCAGAAATTCTTCTAAATTCTCCACCCAGTGATTAATTGTTTCTTGTTCATCTGCATTAAACCATATCAAAGTGCTATCTATGTTAGCTTCAGGTGGACGTGGACGAAAGCCTAATCCTATAATAAAAGAAATTTTGATAAATTAGCTTAAAGTTTTATTTAAAGAACTCTTAAAATACTTTATGTATAATTAACATTTTAGTTCTTTCATAATACTTTGTGATAATGAATTTCTACCGAAATCCTCATTGCATAAAATACAAATGCAACCNTATGTTAAAACTAGAAGGAATAAAGCAATGAAAATTTCTGCTTTAAGATTAGGAAAAAGTTATTTTTCATTCTGTTTAAATCTGAATTACATCATATTTCAAATAAAATATGGCAGCTAATTTTTCAATTGATATAAAAATTTTTTATATCAATTTTGTCATAAAATTTCATTTAAATTCATTTCAAAAATATGTACTAATTTATACTTATAGTATTATTTCATATTAATGAAATAATCAAATTTGATCTTATGTTAATTAATATTCAGAACTGGAATCTATTAAAATAGAACTTTTACATGCAACTCAAGTTCTTAAATTCAAAACTAATGTTAGTGAAATTAAAAGTAAAAAGATTTTTTTAAATTGAATCATCCAAAATATAGTCTGTTTTAAAGACAGTCTAGCTTTACTAGTAATTTGTATTTATTATATTAAAATAATAAGTATCTATTATTTATTTTTATATAAATTTATAAATCTTTTAAAAATATGATTTGTAAAGACATTTTAAAATATAAACAAGGAAAAAAAAATATTTAAAATTTATCTAAATTTGTTTTCAAATATATTTTAGTAATTCCATCAATAAATGCAGTTAAACTTCTGAAGCTTTGTTCAAGATTTGCTTAATGTAAGTTTAAAATTATACAAAACTATTTAGTAACTATTTTAACTATTTTAAAACTATTTATATAAATACTTAAGTGTCTAAATGACATTTAAACATTAGTTAATTGTATTCTTGTGCTTATAAATAATACAAAGAAATAAAAAAAACATTAGATAAACACAAACATTTCTTAATTAATAGCAAATGTTTTTAAATCAACTTGATTAACACTATTTGCTATTAATTGATCAGGAATGTGTGCTTAATAAGCACACACCCCTAATCAATCTACTGCAGATGCCAACCAGATGACTGCAAGGCTGAACAATCATGTCCAGTGTTTTATGCATGTCTCTCAACTTATTGGTAATTCAAGAGAATGCTAGCTGTTTATTTGAAGACGATAGAAAAATTTGAACCTGAATGCACAAGAGGTTTTCTGACAACAATGGTGTTTACATTTCAAGAGATCAAACTTGCACAATTTAAAACTTCAGGGCAAATAAATATGAAGTGAAGATATTCAAGCTGTAATTGAATTAAACATGGTATTAGAAAAAAATAGGTAGTTAAAATGCTCATAGTGTTCAATTTTGATAAAAGAAGACAGTTCTGGAAGAAAAATGTCTTATAGAACATTTTCAAGAAGGAAAATAAATCTGCATCTGAACAAAGCTGAAATTATATATAATTATTATTAAACTATTTATATAAATACTTAGTGTTTAAATGATATTTAAACATTAGATAATTGTATTTTTGTGCTTATAAATGATATACAGAAATAATAAACTTACACACAAATATTTCTTGACTAAAAACATTTGCTATTAATTAACTTAAGACTAATTGCAATTAATTGATCAGGAATGTGAAATTTAATGTTTTTTTCTTTGTGGTAATGCAACTGGTAACTACAAACTTAAGCCTTTGCTTGTGTATTTTCAGAAAATCCAAAAGCTATAAAAAAGGAAAGGAATTCCTTTATTATTTAGAAATTAATAAGGTTTAGGTGACAACATACATGTTTAAAAACTATTTTTATATGGAAAATGAAAAAATACTGTACTTTTTAAAACTTGCTCTTCAAATTTTTATGAATGTTTCATAATGCTCTTACTACTATCCACACTATGTAATTTCCATGATAAAAATTAAGGTATTTTTCTCTAATATAACTTTTTGTAATCAATGGACAAATGCATTATGGATTCCTTTAAGACTTATTATCTAAAGAATAATGACTTGAGACTTATCTATTTCTCAAGCATTACTTTCATAGAGAAAAAAAACTTAGAATTTATAAAAAAAAAAAGCTTCAGAATTTAAAATGCTATCCAAAATATTCTGATGTACAATGGATTTGAAGAAAAAATTTCAATAGTGTATAGAAAAACTTTTATATAGTTTGTAAATAATTTCAGTGCTTTTTAAGGACTGGGTAGACTATGACAAACTGTAGACAGGGCAATGCAAGGAAATGATCTTGACATGACTGGTATGAGAGGGAGTATTCTTTAGAATTTAATTCAACAAACCTGATGAATTGATTGAATTAGGACAAAAGTCAGAACCTGATGTTTCACAATTTTCCAGAACATTTACAACAAAGAAAATAACTGCAGCTTTTAAGTTCATTTCAGAGGAACTGGAAATCATCTCCATATTTGAGTTAAGTTCTCAAAGTGGAAAAAGTGTTTATGACTATCATGTTATAGTAAGATTTTTGATTAAAAAAACTGCAATCTTGCTTAGTCATACATTTTGAAAAAGTGGGGAAACCAATTGTTTTCATTACAACTTTTTGTGATTGCTGGCCAATGTAAAATAATGCAATAGTTCAGTGTAACAGTTTTATTAAAAAAAAACAGAGAGAGAGGGGGCCCATACAACCCACCTAATCTAGCCTAATTATTTAAAACCAAGAAATAAATATAAACAAGCTTACTACAGAAAAGTATATACTGTAAATCCTCCAATAATGCAAACTATTTAGTTTAAACTGCTAAATAGACACTTGGTATTGTTAAATTCCTATGCACAGTTCGTGAAGCTTAAGAGTTCTGTACATGCTATAGTAATTTTTCCATGGGAACCCCAAAAAATGTTTTTACTGCAACATTGGCACAACTGAAGTATACAGTAAATAACATGCGAGTGGACACATCTTCCTGTATTTTCTGTTTCAAACTCTTCAATTTACGCAGATCAGTGAACTAGATGCTGATTGGAATGGCAACCAAGAGGTCTTGCAGCACTGCCTTCAAACTGAACACTTCAGAGAAGAAGCAGCAGCAGCAGCATGGAAATTCAAAGTACAGTACATCCAAAATGAAGAAACAAGCATGATGCTCTTAAGGCTATCAAGAATATGACTGAAGCAAAGAGGCTGGTAGAAGGAGCACAAAATGATCAGCAAAGAATTAAAAGAAAGGTTTTGCAGTGGATCTGTGAACAGTGAGAGAAAAATAATCTCATTTCCAGACAGATGGTGATGAACAAGGCAAGAGAAATCTTCACCCAGTTATATGAAAGTGATAAACAGAACATGTTCACAGCTAGCAAAGGATGGTAAAAAAAATTCATGAAACAGTAGTACTGTGCTTTTCTGTTAAATAAAAAGGAAAAGTTCTTGTGACCTGCCTGCAATTTTCATTATTTGGGAGAAAGAATGGGCAGGAGGTGGTGATGGAAAGAAGATTGAATTGCATTTCCCTTTTCTTATCGCTAGTTTGGATGTGAAACTGCGCAAGAATGGAATAGCCTGGACCCAGTGTCTAAGTATATTCTGTTCAATAGATGCCTGGGTGTCTATTAGATGATTTATGGTAATTTTGAAGAAAAGAATATGCACTACGTAACATTTAATCCCAAATTTTAATGAGAAATAATATTCATATTTGTCATTTTGGTACAGTTCTTTAGTAACTAATTCTTACATAAAGTACACAAGTATAAATGAGTGAGTAATGGATTGATCTTTGAAAGTACCTTTATAAATTATTTTATTGTCTCTCTATGTTTAAGTTACATATTGTAAATACATGGATTTTTATGAAACCTGAAGTTATGGTTATTGTGTTTAAATTCCTAGCAAATTTAAGCATAATAAGTGGAAATTTTTAATAGATATGCAATTGTGGAAATGTAGGATAAAAATAATAAAAATGAAAGTTTTTGAACTGTTTAATTTTTCCCCTACATTGTGGGTTCAGAATGCAATATTTAATGGCACAAAAAACATTGTTACAGTTTATAATGTTTGCTAATCTGTCATAGGAAATGCTTTGTTATTCCTGAACAGGTATTTTCTGTTTGGTGTTGATTTAATCACTAATATGATAATGTTTTTCACTATGGCAGTATCTTCTGTTTGACAGATTTAAGTTATTGAAGAACATACCATAACAGTGTTATGTAAGTGGAACTTTAATTGATTAAGAATTAAAAAACTTTTAAGTCTAATACTGATAAAAATTTTTTATGCTAATGATAAAATTTAATTGAAAAAAATTTGCATAATTTTATGCTAGAGAATACAAATTGCAATGTTTTATTTTAACTTATCTAAAGCATTTTTGAGGATAACTTAGAGAAATACAGTATAAAATTTTTAAAACTGATTTATATATAGTATTTCAGCTTGCAAAACTTTAGTATTGTTAATGTAACATAATGACACTACAGATAATGCAGATGTAAGCAAAACACCAGTTATTTTTCTGAATTTATTTATTTATAAAAGTCACAAATCCAATATCCAATTATGATTGATTGGATTTGTAATTTTTGTATTGTAATCTGTAGAGTTTTTAAGTGTTTAAACAGAGTTATTGTAAGATCAACAAATATAAAGTAAGTTATATTTAACATACATTAAATTTTAATGATTTGTACATAAGAATCCATAAACCTAATTGTATTTATTTACTAATATATATATTCATAAAGATATTTCTTAGATTAAATTAAACAGAAAATATTATTTCTGTTTTAATTTTTTAAAATCAATTTCTAAATTATTTTGTTAATTGCTTGAAAAATGAATTTATTAATTACATATTAAGATTAAAAATAAGTATTAATTAATTCTTCAATTGTTGTTAATATTTTTCAATAAAAGTTTAAGGAAAAAAATTTAATTTAATGTTGAACAAATAAAACGTTTAATTTTCTATGTGACAAGAAATTTATAGAAGAGGATATAATCTTGTATAGTATAAGTCTTGACTTCAAAATAGTGAGCCAAACCTAACTTATAGAGCAACCATTCTATAGTCTAGTAATATATAACTGGATAAAGATAACACGGTTGCTGTCTTGTTTCAACCGTGAGTTGCGGGTCACCATTGGCCATTGAAAAGAAAGAAAGTAGTCTGGATACTTTGAAAATCAAGAAAAGAACAAAAGAATTGCATTGCATTGGGTTCACAGACAGAAGAAAAGAAGGATTTAAATCTTATTTTGATAGTTTAATTTTTTTTTATTTTTAATAGTGTTAATAATAGAACTTATTTTTATATTCTTACATAAAATTTATAATTCTATAATCAATAACTTACAGCAGTCAATACTACTTATATGAAATAATATAGTACAAATATATTGTAAATGCAAGTATACATAAGATAGTATTGATCATAAAAACTATTGATATTTTTATTACTATAAAAATTGATTTTTATAATCATTTAAAATNTTTATATATATATTTTAATAGTTTTGCAAGATTTCTTGAAATATTTAAAAATTATCAATTTGGTGATACATCCAGTTTTATTAGAAACCATTAGCTTTTTGTATCTGTGCTTTCAGTCTGAAATTTTTTAAAATTCAAACTGAAAATGTTCTATTATGGTACTAATAAAAATATATACAATATTTCTAAACGTTTAAGGAATAAGCTTCAATGTTATTCATAAGCAATCATCATATCTGATAGATTAATTTTCAGCACCATCTGCCTATTTTTGATAGAAATTTCTCATTTTTGAAAAAGTAAATTGTTATATCACATTGCCAATCAGTGGCGTAGTGTGGGTGTCTGCCACCCGGGAGGGAGGAAAATTTCGCCGCCCCCTTATTTAGGTATCTCAATTTAAAAGACTAAAATTCAGTTTCGTCACAGAATAAGTAATGAAAAATTCCATGCTAGTGTTGCTACCTTTTTCAATTCGCCGACCCTGACGGCAGGTGAGATTTGATCGAACAGAAGTTCCTGACGCATGCGTATATCATTTTGCAATGAAGAATAATTTGCAGTGCATGCTGGTTCTAAATCAGTTACAGTTAGCGACTAGGGAAACTTGAGTTGGAGTAACGTAAATAATCTAGATGACTTAGCCCTATTGGATATTGGAGGTGTATATGTGTACGAATGAATCGTACGAGCAAAAAAAAACACTATTCCCACTATTCCATGCTCATTTCATTCGATCCGAATCGTAGGTGAACGAAAATATGAAATAAAATTGTTCAAATGCTTACAAGATATTATTATTATTTATTATCAAATTTTGCTGTCTCCTAAAAAGTGCCGCCCGGGGCGGGCCGCCCCTGCTGCCCCCTACACTACGCTACTATGCCAATTAGTTCATATTGTTTTGTTAATTACATTGCACATAAAAGAATGGTGTGTGGAAGTAATTGTATCATTATTATTAAGTGATAAATTAACTTGAGAAATGTGACCACCAGAAATATTAAAATTATCCTGTTTATTTGTTAAGAATGGAATCAGTACGGAATCACTAATAATATATATAATCCCCATTCTACATTTAAAAATATAAAACATTATCTTGAATTAATGTCAAAAACTTAAAAATAGTATAATCAAAATGAGCAATTATTTATTGTGACATCGTCACAATACAGGCTGCAATTTTTAATCATATTTTTAATTTATTTAATTTAAAATATATTCTCTTGACATCAAATTAGTAGTGGCTTGCCCCTGTACATCACTTTTTCATTAGCAATGGAGATGCACCAGTCATCTATTTAACTTCTTTCAGGGAAAAGGTTTTGAAGTGAATAACGTTACTTCCAGTTTGCATCAGAAATTTGTATATAGTTAATCAGTGCCTCCTGTCCCTAAGCCTTCTATATCTGACTTTCTCTTGACTTTCATATACCTAACTCTGTTCTCGAGATTAAGAAAGGCCAGACAGATGGACAACAGTGGGAATTTACAGGTCTACAATGTTTTCAAATTGCAGCCCAATTATAATACAAACCAAGTTATTAGAAAATTATTATAGTACATTATTCAGATGAATTTATTTGTTTGGTGTAACCTCTCAATTGGAAACAAGACAAGACAAGAGCAATAAAACTAGATTGTTCAGTTCAAAATCAGACAGTTGGTAATCCTAGCTATTACAGATAGGTTAGGTTAGTTATTTTGATCACCTGCAAATAGGAGGCAACATGCCAGCAACATTAAGGAAGCAGAGGAAGAGAGCATGTATAGTGCCCAAGCATTTTTAATTTAAGAAGCCTGTTTAGTCAATGAACATAATTAAAACTGATACAACTGGCATATAAATAAGTGAATTATCCAGCCAACTATGCAATTCTCCTTCTTGGGATTTTGCATATCAAGTATGCAGACCTGCTACAATGTAACATGAACAGGATGCTAAGTAAGATCCTGACTTTATTATGTGAATATAAAATCATACTAATTTCTTCTTATTACAGTGGTGCAATCATGCTTTGCACCTGTTAGTATACTGAATAAAATCAAAAGGGGATTGTGGTGTTTATTACTAACCAATGGTGACAGAGGAAAAATAAACAAAACCTCCCTCCCTCCCCTTTGTATACAAATTGAATCTGACTACTAAAACTTATATAATATCATCTTCAATCAAGGAGTTACTACAGTAATTTATTTTTCAATATTTTCATATGACTTAACTAGATATCTACTAATTAAATATATATTATTATCTACTGACCAAAATTATTGTTATAAGTTAAAGACTAGATATAAACTAAAATTTAAAAATATTGAAATTTTGTAAATGTTTAAAAAATACTTGACAATGATTAATTGTATTAGACAATTACACAATCTCAACTAACTATTCATTGGCTGACTTGATAACCATTCCTTTTTTTTTTGTTTTAAATAATAAAATGTATGATAAAATCTAAATGAAACAATAGTGTAACCAGAACTGATATTAGGGGTCCTGAATTAGAACATGCAAACCTACATTTACCCCTGTACAACTGTGGATGTACTCTGAATGGAGTAAACTCAGATCTTGTATATAAATATGTATATAAATGCATTTGTCACATTCAAATCCTTTTCTGTACTTATTTAATTAACTTATTTACAAAAGTTAGGAAAGCCAGGCCCCCCTGGATTGTACCTGGTTATGCTATTGAAATGGAAGCATTTGTTTAGAGAACAAAGAAAACAAGAATTGTTTTGCTAATAACTTTTATATTGTTTATTAGTAATATAAGTTATTAATAGGGAAGGGAAAAAAATCAAAAATCATTATGCTTTTCAAATAAACTTTTTCCTCATATTTTATTTCTTATTCAGCCATTGTTGGAAATAGTGAAACATTTCTTCCAATGTGTTTATGAATCTAATTAAATCTGAATATTTTTAGTAGTATTCCCAGGTAATATGCACAAACCTTCCAATTTCAACTGAAGTTTCTTAATTTTTAAATCTCTACTCCAATTTTTTGGTAAAAATTCAACAATAAATGTATTAAAGTAGTAAATAATACCACATAATATTTCAACACCATTGAATCATCAAGTTACTTTTTACACTTGACCTTTAAGTACTATTCCTTTCATTATTGTAGCTAAGCCTTTATGGCTTGTTTTCTTTATTTCCTATATTTAGCAGTATTACAATAATAATATAACAACCAATAGGACAGTTTCAACATTATCACACAATAAAAGTTTTAAGATTTTGTATTGAGGTTAAGAACAGATAGATTTTTGTCAAATCTGACTACTCAAAATTGCTCCAAATTCACAATTCAATAGTTATGGAGTAAGTTACGTTGTTTAAATAATTTTAAATTAAAACAAATTTAAAATGCTGCAAAATTAAATAAACACACAACAAAAATATATTTAGCTTACCAGGACTTGAACCAATTCTACTACTGTCTAATTGCCATCTAGGTTCACTACTGCTCAGTGTTTGATAAAATATAATGAGCATAACAGTCCAAAAGGCAGCCAAACAGGAATAAAATATTATATAGAATACTGTAATTTTCACTGTAAAAAAAAATTAAGAATTAGTATTTAAATTTAGTAATAAAATATACTAATTTTTCTTAAAATAAATGCAGAACGATTATATTGTAACAACTTATTTCTATAAAATTTTTTGCATTTTTTAAAATTAAGTAAATTTCATTGTAAAATACAAAATTTTATTATAAATGTAATTCTTATCATTGGAGATCAACAATTTAATTCTCTCTCAAAAATAATCCAAAAAATTTAAAGATAAATATTATTACATTTACAGTATATCCACAGAACATTTTTTTTAAATAAAAGATTTTCTAAAAATTTAACAGGTCAAAATATAAAGTTTTATCAAAATGCATTATTGCAATTTTTAAAATCAATTTTATTTTAATATAAACAGAATTAAGAAATCTAATGTCAATTCTTTCAATTTTTACAACAGAACTATTAAGTTGACTGAGTTAAGGTTTATCAGCATCTAAAAATGCTTTTTATGTAATTCAACATTTTTACAAGATGGTTTAGCATTTTTATCAATAGAATTACTAAAATAAATTAAATCTCAAATCACTTACTTCCCTTTATTCATAAAAATTTAATTGCACAATTCAAGTACTTTTGTTGGAATGTAAAAATTATTTGATTAAAAAAAAGTATATATAAGATTTTTAATTAAAGCTTATTCAATTTATTATTGTGCCTAAACTCATTTAAAGTATTTCAAAAAAATGTTTAATTTGCTCTAATAACTAACTGAAAAACTTCATGTGTAAAATATGAAAATTGAAAGTTTAGAAATGAAAAGTTCTTTTAAAAACAAAAATAAATAGTCATTTAAATTAGTGAAAATACAATTGTCGCTTTTACTTTCTACTTGATGAAAACTCAACATTTGAATTGTAAAAATCAAGTTTCAAAAGGAAATGTTTAATATAATTCTGATTAAAAGTCAAATATTTTAAACATTTATAATTTCATTTAATGGTCAATGACTGATAATGAAGCTTTAAGGCTGTTTCCATATTACAAAAAAAATGGAAACTAGATTCCATTCCCTTTCATTTTATGTTTAGTTTTAATATTTTGATATTGTGAAAATAAACAGAATTTATGATCACACACTTTTCTTGATATCTATATATTTTTTTTTGTTTATTTTATTATAGATGAAAGAATACATCCTGAGATCTAAAAATAATTCTAATTTTTCACTTGCACTTTTCAAATAGTCTTATTTTCCTTCCATACAAAAAGAAAATGTCACTACTATGTCATAACTGTAAATGTTTTGTTTTAGTCAAAACATGACAGACAATGCTAACAGAAAAGGAAAGTTGAAGTATTTTTTACTCTATGTTTACATCTAGATTTTGGTAGATGGAAACTTCTGAGCAGGACCACTTTTCAGTTTCTAGAGTATTTTCCAGTAATGTGGAAACCAGCCTTGGAAATTAGTATAAATTCTGATAATTTCCTGAATTTCTCGAGGCTGGGGAAATATATATTAATTTTAACACTTGAAATTAAATTGTCTCAAATAAAATTTAATCAATGTGTATGCTGGGCAATTTCATTTTTAATTCTGAATTGTTTTAAGTAAAGTGACTAGACATCCCATTGTCCTGACAGTTTTTGTCAGGATACAAATATGCAGAGCTGTAACTAGGGTATGGCCAATGTGGTCCTGGCCATAGGCTCCGATATAATAAAGGCACCAATGAGGTTCCGAAATAATATGTATTCGAAATTAATAACACAAAAAAATTTTATATTTATATAGTATTTAAATGTCATTAGATAATTTTTTTTTACAATAGCATTTTTTTAGAATAAAATTATTATTTTTTTAATAATAAAAATTAAAAAGGTGCCATTTTTATTCTTGGCCATAGGCGTCCAAAATCCTACTTATGGCTCTGCAAATATGTCCCATATTCCTGGACTTCTCAGAAAAAATATTCTGTATTTTGAATAATCCTGGAAAATTCTCTGTTATACATCCTTGCTACATAACAATGCAGGTGGTTGTCATTTGTCAGCAAACAAGAATAATAATTAATAACAAGCAGTGTATTTCAAAACCGTACAATTTTCCCATTATATTATGCTTTTAAGGCTGCCATAACAATATTATAGGCCCTGGAAAGAGCAATGTAGACTGGGGACCCTACCTACATAACCACTCACAGGAAGAAAAAAGTATTGATAAAATTAAACACACACTTATTACTATTTGCAACAAAATCAATGTTTAAACATTAAAAAGCATGCCATACAGAAAACAATCAACAGAAACATTTGAATATAATATGAGTCTTGAAAAACAAAAATTTCAATATATAAATAATGCTTAATTGGTAAAATCACACAGACAGAAATGGAACAGTATGAAATTACTATGATTTTTTTGATGCAAAATGTTTTTGCAGAGAATTGCTTTATAATTGGCTTGAAGCAAATAGTCTTCAGATGTTTTTTCCACACAAGAGTAAAAGTCAGTTCAAACATTGCACAGTTGTGCTGTGAAGTTAACTTTGTGTTTGTCTTGAAAATGAATTTTTCCTGCACAGTTGGTCACCATCATGCATATGAACATCAAGTACAATTTCAAAATTTGGAAAAAACAGATTTCAAATTGTCTAAAATTATTTTCCTGTGCAATGCAGGGAGATATCAATTTTTAATCATGTGGTCCTTATGCTCATGGAGCTGAACAACAGCCCGGAATGCCCATACATTAGGAAGGCCACCAGGCTTCTTATTTTTATCTGTGACATATGCAAGGGGTCCAATAAGAAGGATGAGCACAGACTCAGGAACAGGCTGTCCCACATTTGCCATACAAGTTTACTGAATCAGTTTACTGAAAACTGATAATCTTAAAATAAAGTGATTATTCAGAACAGCTAGAGTTACTTGAAACAAGATCATCCATTAATAAATAATACAATCAGGTCATTAATATAAATAATACAATCAAATACTACAGTTAAATGTTAGCTAAAATACAAAGAAATACTACATTTAATAAAGTTTTTTCATAGTTAATACATAATTTATTCAACTAAGATTATTATACTGCTCTTCAAAGTATGACCTCATTTTTTTAATTGAGAAAGTTAGGATTAAAACATTATACAATAGAACCCTGCAAAGAAGTTCCTGATTAAGAATTTTAACTTCAAAAGTCCCAATTTTTCCCCCTCATTAGAGATGCAAATTTTTTCATATGTTCTTAAGAAAATTTTCTGCTTAAGTAAACAGAAATCATTGTCCACAACTGGAAAATGGACTCAAGTTTTTCAACTGTAATTTATTTCCTATTTTAAAAGAATGTTGTAGCAAAAAGAATTTTTATATTAATTTTTTAAAATTTTAAAGTGTTGCAAAAATCATTTTGCACCTATATAATGTAGAAGTACAATGACTTTTTGATCAATCTGTACTTTATGAAAATGTTTGTTGCAAAATTGAAAAAATTAAATTGAGTTTAATAAAAACAAAAGAATTTTATATCAAACATTCATTCTAAAGAATATACACACTATCTAAAAATGTTTATCAAAATTATTTAAACTGACTTTAAAAAAGATAATATAATGTTTGAATCCTAATTTTTTCAAATAATTTATTGTATCAACGTGCTTTTACATTATATAGGTGTGTAATGATTTTTGAACACTATTATATTAATTTTTAAAAATTTTAAGGTTTTTATGCTAAAGCATTCTCTTAAAATAGGTACATTTATTCGTATATAAAACTGAAATAAAAGTGAGTGATTTAAGATATAACAAAGTTTTAGGTAATGAATTAAAAGTTCTACTGACAAAAATACTAATAATCAATCTTCTCAGCTGAGAATTAAAGGAAGGCGAAAATAAGTTTATAAATATCAGTAAAATTACAAAATTAGTCAATCAAATGTTAAATTATCTTCAGTAATTATTAACACAGTAATATAAGTTTATTTTACTTAAAATGTACTATCAACTGAATTAGTTGAATATTTAGAATAAAACATTCTTTTCTGAACTTGACTGCTAACATTTTCAAAAGTCTAAACACTTCATCTTATTCAAATTTATATCATTATACAAAACCTTGTGTCATTCAAAAGGGAAAAATATAACCTATACAAAACCTATGGAAACATTATTAAATTCTTTATAAATATGAGATGATAAATTTAATTTTTTTTGACGTCTATTCATCTTAATGTTTCAAGATAAGAAAGCTAGAGATCAAGTGATACATTAAAATAGCATTTTACCTAGCTGAGTATAATTGGCCTTTATTTGCTCTTTATTGTTAACATTAATTTTCACAAATGTAAAATTCAGTTTTTAGTCAAGTTAAAATATTTAAAAATCAAATCTTTCAGAGAATTTATCAATAAATTTATTGTTTAGAAATATCTCAGTTTATTTGATTACATTTTTTAAAATTGATATTAACTGTAAACCTCTAATCATTGATAATGTAATAATGCAGTTTGTAAATAAAAAATATTTTAATTTACGGTATTTAAAACTTTTTTCAAATGTTCTCATTCAACATGTATTCATAATTGTATATAAATGTTCGATTCAGATCATTACTACTTGGGAAAAGTCAAAAATTTTTAAAATGAATTTATTTACTGAAAGGGCAAAGATTTTTATACTTAAATAGTGTAAAGCCTGGTCAAAACTACTATAAAAAGCTTTATTTTAAGCAATAAAATACCAAGGAGAAAAGTATCTCAACAGGAAAAATTGAATTTGGCACAAAGCCAAGTTGTTGCAAGTAATCCAATTAAAGAAATTTAAAAATGAAGAATTTTTATAGTGAGAACAATTTTCTTTAAAAATTAGATGAAAAATTTGATTAAAAAAAAGTATATATAAGATTTTTAATTAAAGCTTATTCAATTTATTATTGTGCCTAAACTCATTTAAAGTATTTCAAAAAAATGTTTAATTTGCTCTAATAACTAACTGAAAAACTTCATGTGTAAAATATGAAAATTGAAAGTTTAG